TTCCTATGTCTCTACCGGTGTGTCTGTCTATCTCTGTTGTGTGTGTGTGTGTGTGTGTGTGTGTGTGTGTGTGTGTGTGTGTGTTTGGGGGAGGGGGTAATCTGGATTTTTATTTTGCTTTGCAAGGCCTTTGTTAGCTCTGATGTAGAAGGACCCCTGTCTCTCTGCCTGTGTCTCTGTGCGTCTGTCTGTCCGTACATGGTCTGTGGGTCTCTGGGTGTCTCTCCTTCCAGGTCTCCTTCCCTCTTCCCCTTTCCCTCTCCCTATCTCTCCCTGCAAGTGGCAAAGATGGAGGAGGGAGGAGGCAAGCCCTTCAAGAAGCTGATTGGCTAGCGGTGACATCACTGTTTTCTAGAGAAAGAGCTAAGATTACAGAGTATTTTTGGAGCAGAGCAGAGTGTGGCACTCACCTGCCTGAAGCCCCAGCAGGTTTCCCACCGCCACCCCCACTGGGCTCGGGGCTAAGCTTGAATTCAGGTCCCGCAGGGAGACCAGGAGAGGACCTAGCTGCCACAGCCCCTCCTCCACAGCCCTAGGGGCCTCCCCAGGGGCACCCAGACAGCGACAAGATCTGCCTCCAGTAATACTGGACCCAGGAGGGGCAGGAAAGTCAGAGACACCACACACACGTGGTGTGTGTGTGTGTGTGTGTGTGTGTGTGTGTGTGTGTGTCTTAGCAAAGAGGTGTGTGAGTGTGCACACCTGAATGTTGGCAGCACAGACTTGGAAAGAAATAAAAAGGGAAAGGAGAAGCTACTCCCTGAGGACAGTAAGAGCTATTCCAAGAAGCAGGTACCTGGGGGAGGGGGCGGGGGAGGGTGGCAAGGGGCCACCACTTTACAGAGAAGGTGGCTCCTCCCCTAGGCTTCTCCCTAGGGTTTGGGGTGAAGAGAACCCTTGACAGCAAAGTTCTGACCTGGGGCGCTCTAGCTGTGGGGGGAGGAGCTTGGGGGCAATGCAGAAAGCGGGTTGGTGAGAAGGGGGGCCAGCTCTGGCACTGGGCTCCTATAGCCGGGCTGCTCATTTGCACCTAGTTCTGCCTCATTCTCACCGCATGGGCAATGAGGCAGCACCTCTCACACCTGCCAACCCCAGCCTGGGCCCCAGGGTGTCTACCCAGGCCACTGCCCCTGGCAGTGTTCTCTGCCCCTCCCAGGAGCTTTGGCCCCAAGGCCTCAGGTCCCTGCCCTAGTATCTTTTCCCAGGAGTATTTTCCTCGCCCTGAGAGTCAGAGCCCGGAGCAGCTCAGAGAGGCCTGGTGAGTTAAGCATCCCAGAATCCCACAGAGGACAATCACGACGGAAGGAGACAGACCTCCAGAAAAAGACAGCAGGAGTGGGAACCCATGTCACGGCCCCCACACGCCTGCCTTCCTGAACTCCACAATATATATTGGCTTTTCTCCATCTCTTGACTACACACATGCACGTGCGCACACACGCTCAAATAGCATATTCTCTCACTCCATCACACCCACAAACACTTCTCCCTAAGCCTGATCCTTTCTAAGCCAAAGTATGTCTAATAAAACACTTTCTCAAAAAAAAAACAGGAAAAGAAAAATGCTTAATGCAAACAAGCAAACAAAGCTGCTGCCACCCCTCCCCAAACAAGCTAAGCAAGTGAACCAGCTGTAGTAAAAGGGGGAGAGGAGCTGAATGGAGAAGAGGTAGGTGGGCACAGACATGAGAGGAAACCAAACCCGAGCCCAGGTGTTGGAGATGCAAGAAGCAAGTCGGAAGCACAATGAAAGCAGTAGGGATCACAAGGGTCCAAACAAGACCCAGGTAGAGTGCACACCTAAGGAGACAGTGGCCAGGGGCACAGCAGAGACCGCCACGGGGAGATGAGGAGCATGAGATGGTTCGGACATCAAGCTACAGACCATCAAAGGGCCCAAGAAGCTGTGGGCAGACAGAGCCAAGCTGACCTGGGGCAGGTTGGCTTCTTCCTGGCAGAGCTGGCTGAAGTAACTAACCCAGGTTCTGAAGGGTTTAGGAAAGAAGGGGTCAGAGGGGGAGTGAAGACAGATGGATGGTGACCTAAGAGAGTGGGGCTGGCATCAACGCAGAGTCTATGGCAGCGTCCTTCCTCCATCACAGAGGACTACCACCGTCCCTGGGAAACCTGCTGAAGGGGCCCAGGCTTCTCCCTCCAAGCGACAGCCTGGCATTTGCAGGGGTGGAAAGGGGGAAAGAGGCTGGACACGGGTTTCTAATGTCTTCTCCAGAGAAGACAGGAAGTAGCAGCTCCCAAACTTGGCCTGCCTGCATCCAGGGACCATCCAGCCTGCTTTGGATTGGTCTGCCTGTTGGGGCAGAGAATGGTAGAGGGGCGGGCCAGGAGACAGGGGGACCCCTGCAGTCTGGCTGACCTTTTGAGGAGCCTGCAAGGTACAAATCTCCTGCTCTCAGGCCAGCTGGCCCCCAGTGGGAAGGGAGTCCAGGCTGCCATTGCGCCCCTGTGTGCACCAGGGGCTGGCAGCCTGCCCACCAGGAAGGACTGGGGAGAGGAGGGGGAAGGAGGGGACTGAGGACAGGCAGCACAGAAGGCCAGGAAAGGGCAAAACAATCCTGACCAAGAGCAGTGCAGCTGTCGTGCAAACACGTATAGATTGCAAATGCCTACTGGATGCCAGGTCCTATGCTTGGACACGGCACACAACAGAATTTTAACTTCATGCCTCATTTTTTATCTGCTTGCTCAAGTAGTCTTATCTATCTTGCAGAGGGGCTAAATTGCTCCCCTCAAGTTCCTCAGGAAACAGGTCGTGGGTTTTCTCCCATGATCCCTACTCTACTATACCGTCATGCTCAACCAAAGTCACACCTCTAAGGGTGTGACTAGCCCCAAACGAGCCCCACCACCTCCTTTACTGAGGCATGGCTCAAAGGTACCCCCACCCCAGTCCATGCTCTAGCAGGAGGCAGAGAGGACCAAGAAGGACCAGGGAGCAGATCCATCTCAGGGGTCACCTGCTGGTCCACCCTGGGGAGCATGTTATTCTGGGCAGGACTCCTGCCTGAGTCCTGGAGCCCTGTTGGGTCTGATGGATGACTTGGCTGGACACAGAATGGACACAGGACATGGGTACCGGCCTCTTTCCACCTTCCTGAATCATAGTCCTCAACGGAGCCACCTGCCCCTCCTTCTGTGGGCACCAGACTCCAAACCTCAGCCCTGTTGTGTAATAATACCCGCGACAGTCCCTGCCACCTCCATCTGCCAGCCTAAAAATAATCCCTGCTGAGTCCCAAACCCGCATAGTACCTAGTGGTCCCCAATCCTTCCTCCTGGACAAGTCAGGAGACTCCAAGAGACTCTAAGACCCAGAAGACTCAGAGGAAAACACCTGGGTCCCCACCAGCCAGGATGATCTGACCCTC